ACAACCACGTCCTCTTCCAGGCCTGGAGCTTCTCCTTTGGGATGAGTGTGAGCACGGGCCTGCGTCTGTTCGACGTGCGACACAAGGGGGAGAGGGTGGCCTACGAGATCAGTGTCCAGGAGGCGATGTCAGTGTATGGTTCCAACTGCCCTGGAGGGATGTCGACGAGGTACATGGACGGGAGCTTTGGCATCGGGCGCTACACCTCCCCCTTGGTGCGAGGGGTCGACTGCCCCTACTCGGCCACCTACGTGGACACACACTCTCTGTCCGAGACCCTGAGTCCCATCAAGAAAAAGGATTCTCTCTGCATCTTTGAGCAGAACCTGGGCTCCCCACTGCGGCGCCACTACTCCAACCTGCAGTCTCTCTACTACGGGGGGCTGGTCAACTCTGCTCTGGTCATTCGCTCCATTGCCACCGTGGGCAACCACGACTATGTGTGGGACTTCATCTTCTACCAGAACGGGGCCATTGAAGGCAAGGTCCATGCCACAGGGTACACAAGCTCATCCTTTCTCCATGGGGACGGTCTGAGATATGGAAATCGGGTTTGGGAGCACACGCTGGGAACGATACGCACCCATTCCATCAACTATAAGGTGGACTTGGATGTGGGAGGTAGGTCTGGGTCTGTGTCTCTCCTTTGTGCCCTCTATGAGTACTTTTAGACTTCCCAAACTTGATGGCTTTTGGTCCTTGTCCAGTTTTTTCTTTCTGTGTGTGGGGCAGGATCCTGTGCTGGCACAGTGCCGCCTCCCTTCTGGATTTGGGTCATTGAAAAGCTGTTGTCCCACAGGGAGAAGTTCCCCCTCCATCCCCTGTAATTTCCCCATCGGGCCACGGAGAGCTGTGACTGCCTGGGCTGGCTAAAGCCAGTGCTGTCCTATGTCCCCTGCCCCTAATGGGGAGGGTCCTTCCCCTCCTGCCTGGCAGATGGACCCACTCCCACCCTAACTCGGTGCCCTCGATGCCCCCAGGGCTCTGCAGAACTCGGGATTTTTCCCTCCACACCCTCCCCCTGTCCTGAGCCCCAGATGGCAGTCGGAGTCGCTCAAGCTGGTTTGTTGGGATGTGGTTTCCAGCTCACATTCCTGCTTCCTCCAGCTTTGCCAAGCTGTTCCTGCTGCTCTTGTGTGAGCAGGGCCGGGGGCTGCCCCCCGGGGGGCTGGGGGCTCAGGTGGGTGCTGGGCTGCTTTGTGCCAGGGCACCAGGGAGCGGCGGCTGCAGTTTTCTTGGTCTTCCCCTACCATTTGTGCCACAAATCTCTCCTCGTGCTGCTGCTGGAATTGCATTTGCTGCACGCTCCTGCCATCTGCTAAAAATATCCTAATTTCCTTTTAAATTGGGAAACACACATTTATAGACTGTGTGGTTTTAGGATGGGGTTTGAGTCCTTCGGTGAAAATGGGGCATGGCAAAACCGCAAGGATGGGGAGAAGGTGGATGAAGTCAGAGCGTGACTGCTGTCACTGGGAGGGGAGGTGTGGGGTTGGAAGTTTTTGGCACATCAGAAAAGGGAAGTGAGTGGCAGATGCTGGATGTGGGTCCTCATCCATGGGGCTCAGGCTCTGGTGCTGCCTCGGTGGCAGCCGTGGGGCTCAGGCCCAGGGGTGGCCAGATGTTCAGCTCTGGGGTGGCCTTGGTGTGAGCTGGAAACTCGCCTGGGGTGAGGGGAGCAGAGCAGGGGGTGTTACTCCATCTCTGCATCCAGGGTGGGCAGTGGGGGTCGAGCACTGGCCCCAGAGCCAGGAGCCCTCTCAGCCAGCCCTTTGCCACCACGTCTCCAGATTTGCCTTGCTCTTGTGCCCCTCCAGCTGCTTGGAGCCTCCGGCTCATGACTCTTGTTTGTGGAAGGACCTGAACGTCGCGGCACTGCTCCAGTTCTGTGATGTGCAAATGTGCTGGGAGCCCTCCCCAGCTCTCAGGACACACACTGACGAGCCCAAACACTGTGTCTGGGCCATCAGGCGCTTGGGTTAATTAGGCTGTGCCTGCACTGGGGAGCAAACCTGTTCTTCTGCAGTGGGATGAGGTTCTTGTCCCCCTCAGAGAGTGAGAGAACCCATGGATGGTGGTGTCTGCCACAGGGTGGTGTTGCCTGGGTCAGACAAACAGTCCTACAGCCATAGATAAATGTACACGTAGAGTCCTGCTGCCATGGAGCTGCGGGACAGTGGCTGCTCCCACGGGCAGGAGCTGCTGCTTGGATTCGGAGTCTGGGAGGGGAGGATGGGGACAGCAAGCTCTGGCTGCAGAGATGTCCATGGGAGACAGTGGATGCTCCTCAGTAACTTTGCTTTTTTTTTGCAGGGGTGAAGAACTCCCTGGTGGCCCACGACATGGCGTTTGAGGTGACACGGGCTCCCTGGAGCCCGGAGCAGCAGATAGAGCGGCCACGACTCACCAAGAAAGTCCTGGACACAGAGGACCAGGCTGCCTTCAGACTCCAGTCGAAGATGCCCAGATATGTCTACTTCGCCGCCAACGGCAAAAACAAGTGGGGCCACCAGCGTGGTTACAGGATCCAGATCACCAGCTTTGCGGGGGATCACATCCCTGAAGCCAGCTCCATGGAGAGGGCCATCAGCTGGGCAAGGTCAGGCTGCTTGGCCCGGGAGGGTGGGTTCTCAGAGACACCCTCAGCCTCACTGGGGAGGGAGCACGTGGGTGTTCCTTGATGGGGAGGCACAGGGCAGGTGCTTTCCTGGACTGGGGTCACTCCTTAGGAACAAGCTTGTGCTCCACAGGCTCTCTGGGGAGTTGGCTTCCAGCCCTGCCCTGCCCCGGGGGCTGCTCCCATCTCTCTCCTTGTCCTCAGGTACCAGCTGGCCGTCACCCGGCGCAAGGAGGAGGAGCCCACCAGCTCCAGCATCTACAACCAGAACGACCCCTGGACGCCCACTGTTGCCTTCGCCGACTTCATCAACAACGAGACCATCACCAACGAGGTGAGCTGGGGTCTCCTGGGCTGGAACTGGAATACCCAGAGCTGGGGTCACCAGGGAGAGCAGCAGCCCCAGGAAATGAGGGTTTGAGCATCCCCTTTTCTGTGCATCTGCTCAGTGCTTCGGTCAGAGCACGTAGATCAGAGCACAGAGCAGGAGCTCGTTTCTCCCTGTGGAGAAATGCTGGCAAAACGTCAGGAAAATCTCTGTGAGGCCAGGGCTTGGACACAGGGGTCAGGGCAAGGGCCCTTCTGCAGGTCTTTGGGGAAGGGAGGGGATCTTCCTCAGGAGGGGGGAGCTCGGCATGTGGGGATGTGGCCGGGCTGGTGCCTGGGGAGGTCTCCCCCTGTTCTCCTGAATAGGTTTCAGTCGCTGCCAGCATCTGAAATAACCCTGGTCTTGTGGCTCTTCCCTGCCTAGGACCTGGTTGCCTGGATAACTGCTGGTTTCCTTCACATCCCGCACTCGGAGGATATTCCCAACACCGTGACAGTGGGAAACTCAGTCGGCTTCCTCCTGAGACCTTACAACTACTATGACCTGGACCCCTCCATCTACTCGCACGACGGCGTGTTTTTCACCAGCGAGCAGGAAGTCACGTCGTGTGACGTCAACCCCATGGCCTGCCTGCCCAAAACAGCCTCTTGTTTGCCAAACTTCCCCCCGTTCACCTTCGACGGTTTCCAAAATACGAGCAGGCTTTAACGCTACAGGACGGCGTTAGGAGACACAGTCAGAGGCACCAGGTTGACTCTTCTGTCTCAGATTTTCAGGTTTTTTTAGTGAAGTTGTCTCCATTTCCAGTTGTGCAATGACTTCACTTTTTATCATTGCTTTTTAAAATAGTGCTCTTTCAAAGGGAAGCATAATCTTCTCGGCGTGACGCCGGATGGGAGTTTACGTTATCTCTGTTAATTGCTGAATTTGAGTTTGTTGCAGGAGGAAGGTGAGGAGAAAATCCAATTCCTCTGCTGTAGAAGCAAGTGCTGTGTAGTGCCTGTCTCAGGTTGAAAAAAAAAAAGAAAGTTATTCTGGCCCAGTGCTCTTATGAGTGTTTCTTCTTATGATTTACAGCAGCATCTGCCCCGTCCGGGCACAGGGTGGGTCTGGCCAGAGGGCAGGAGGCTGGGGAGCCCTGGGGCTTGGGGGGGACACCCAGGTGGGTGCTGGCACCAAGCTCTGGGTGCTCGGGGTGAGGTTGGGGACAGTCAGGACCTGCTTGGGTGGCAGCACCCAGGGACTCGCCACTGGGTGCAGGAGAAGGGAGCGGAGGGAACTATTGTGGGGAGGGGTCCTGCTGTCCCTGCACCAGCGCTGTCCCCACAGGTGCCTCTGTGTGAACCTGTGGGCCTGTGGCAGCCCCATCGATGGTGGCCAGGCTCATGCCAGAGCCCTCCCCCAGGCTCGAGCCAGGACACTGGAGCCACAGGGGCACTGCTGCCTGTTTGCCAGGGTGCTCAGTGGGCTCTGGAGCCCTCATCTCCCTCCTCACAGCCCTGTCTGTGCCAGAATGTAGCCCAGGATCAGAGGACACCTTTGATGGGGGGACAAGCATACCCTACTCTGGGCTGCAGGAGCGGTGATTTCCCAGGCACGGGGCACGGGCAGCAGCGTGTGATACCACCGATGTCTCTCCATGGGCTGCAGAGCTGTTGCTGGTGAAGGCAGAGCCGTGGCAGGATGGGGCCATGGTGCTGGGCTCAGTAGTGGTCTGCACCGAGGGGCATCGTCCCTGTGGTCTCTACTGCCTGCCTGGCTGTTTGCATCCGCAGGGGGAGGAGGAGGAGGTGGAGGGAGATGCGTTTGTTTCCTCCGAGTGGCTGGATCTGTCCTCTCCAAGCTCTGCAGCGTAGCATGTGGGAAGAGAGCAGAGGGACAGATGCAGAAAAGTGAAGTTTACTTTTAAAATTATGGCCCACTGGGGGAAGCAGAGCAAAGTTGCCTTTTATGGTTCCCAGCAAATCCCAGGCATGTGTGAGAACATCCCCCTGTGCCCTCCCTGCGAGCTCCTCTGGGCTGTTCCCTCTTGAGAAAACGAGGGGAAAAAAACAACCCAACCAAACCCAGCCCCTTCTGCCGGCGGGTCCCTGGGAGGATTCTGCAGCTGCAAACCCGACTGCGGGAGCGCTCAGTGCCTCGGCAGCCATGAACATGAAAACCCTGCTCATCCTCCTCCTCCTGGCCTTAGCCACGATATTTGCCCTGGTCTGCGTGCTGCTGACCAGAGGGAGAGCCCCCAGCGCCTGCCAGCACCAGCCCCCGGGGCAGGAGGACACTGATGACGGCCAGAGCCTGGTGTTTGCTGACCTGAGCCCCGAGGAGATGGTGCAAGTGGTGGGGTACCTGCGGGGAAACCTTGGGGTGCAGCTGGTGGACGCCTCGCGTGCCAAGCCCTCGGACAACTGCATCGCCTCCGTGGACGTGCAGATCCCCGCCAAGGCCGAGGTGCTGCGGTTCCTGGATGGTGGGGGGGCTCGTCCCCCCCGGGAGGCGCTGGCCGTGCTCTACTTTGGGAACCAGCCAGAGCCCAACGTCACCGAGTACGTGGTGGGGCCGCTGCCGAGGCCGGTGTATCACCGGGACATGACGGTGAAGAAGTATGGGGGGAAGGTGCCGTACCACCGCAGGCCCGTTACCGGCCAGGAGTATGTGGACATCAACGGCCTCATCCAGCAGGAGCTGAGAAAGGCACCGCGCTTCCTCGCCGCCTGCTGTGAGTCCGACGGGACCGACCTGGCCATCCTCACCACGGCCCCTCGGGGCTTCAAGTCCGGTGACCGTTCCACCTGGTTTGTCCTTTTCCACAGCGTGGCCGGTACGGGCTACTACCTCTCTCCGGTGGGGCTGGAGGTGCTGGTGGACCACAAGGACCTCCACGTCTCCCGCTGGCGGCTGCGCAAAGTCTTCTACAACGGCCAGTACTTTGCCAGCATGGAGCATCTGGAGGATGCGTTTGTGAACAACTTGCTGGACATGGTCAGGATCAAGAAGCCCCTGGGTGAGGAGGTGCTGGGCTCGATGAGACCCCAGCGCCCGCCCGGCTCCCCGGGACCGCTGCAGTACGAGCCCCAGGGTCCCCGTTACAGCGTCAGGGACAACCGTGTCACCTTCCAGGGCTGGAGCATCGCCTTTGGCGTGAACCCCAACTCCGGCCCACGCTTCTTTGACATCAGGTTCCACGGGGAGAGGATTGTCTATGAGCTGAGTCTCCAGGAAGCCTTAGCCCTGTACGGCTCCAACTGCCCCGGGGGGATGTCGACCCGTTACTTCGACGGGAGCTTCGGAATCGGCAGATTTGCCTACGAGCTGGTCCGGGGCCTCGACTGCCCCTACATGGCAACCTACGTGGACAGGCACTACCTGGCAGAGTCAGACACCCCCAAAACCAACCAAAACTCGCTCTGCATTTTCGAGCACGATGCTGGCCTCCCTCTGCGGCGCCACTTTTCCGACTCACAGTCCTTCTACTATGGCGGGCTGCGGAAAAACACGCTGGTCATCCGTTCAGTCTCCACTCTTATCAACTACGACTACATCTGGGACTTCATGTTCCACAGCAGCGGGGCCGTGGAGGTCCGGGTACATGCCACCGGCTACATCAGCACCTCCTTCCTCCACGGCCGAGGCACCGACTACGGCAACAGGGTCGGGCCCCACACGCTGGGGACGATGCACCTCCACCACATCCACTACAAGGTGGACCTGGATGTTGATGGTAGGTTTGGGTGTCATCCTGTGTGGCCGCAGTTGTCTGTGGGCTGCAGCTCTGCCCGGGGCACAGAGCTCAAGAGGGTTTTCCCTTCTGCTTCGCAGGGCAGCTGAACTCTCTGGAGACCCAGGACATGGAGTATGAGCTCGTGAAAGACCCCTGGAGCATGCAGAACACCATCGAGAGGCCATACCTCCGCAGGGAGAGGCTGGAGAGGGAGGACGAGGCGGCGTTCCCTCTCAACACCCCCATGCCCCGCTACATCTCCTTTGCCAGCTCCAAGCCCAATAAGTGGGGGCACCCGCGCAGCTACCGCATCCAGATCGTCAGCTTCACCGGGGAGCACCTGCCCACCAGCAGCTCCATGGAGAGGTCCATCAGCTGGGGCAGGTGGGTTCTGGGGCTGGGATGTGTGTGGTTGTCCCGTTCCCCCTCTACATCCCCCCACCACTGAATTTCACTAAATTTTTAGAGTTGGAAGGGACCATAGAGATCATCTAGTCCAACTCCCCTGCTGAAGCAGGATTGCCTAGAGCTAGAGCATGTTACTCAGGACTGCATGGTCCCTGGCTGCTTCTGCCCCACAACAGAGGGTGCAGGGAAGGGTTAAACAGCAAATGTGCATATTTTTTTGACTCTGAACATCCCTTGAAAAGTTGCTCAATGACATGTGTTCATAATAGTTCACAGGCAGGAATCTGACCCCAGATAAGATTAATTTAGAGCAATCGTGTTTTTTTCCCTGTGAGGGCAGCCGGGCTGCAGGGTGAACTCCCAAGGGAAGCACTGGCATCCCCGGGTCTTGACATCTTTGTGTAAGGACAGAATGTCTTTTGGAAAGTGCTTGGGACAGATGCAGAGCTGGCTCACTGCCGGGGAGGCGTGGGGGCTCCTGTCCCGGGGGTGCTGCAGGAGTTGGCAGTGGCTGTGTCCACAGTGAGTGTGTTGGGCAGAGCAGCAGCCTCTGTACCCACATGTGTTCATGTCTCCGGGCCGTGTTGGTACCACGCTGGCCCGTGCCAGCCCCTTTCCTCCAGACCCAGGACACACCGTGTCCCCGGGCACACACCAAGGGTCCACCCAGCTCCCGTTTGCCAGTGTAACCCCCGGCGTTGATGCTGCAGTCACCAGCCCCAACCTGGCATGGATGAGCCCTCTGTCCCCGTGCTGGCAGGTACCAGCTGGCCGTCACCCGGCGCAAGGAAGAGGAGCCCACCAGCACCAGTGTCTACAACCAGAACGACCCCTGGACGCCCACCGTTGTCTTTGCCGACTTCATCAACAACGAGACCATCACCAACGAGGTGAGCTGGGGTTCCCTGGGCTGAGGGGAGCCGGGCACTGTGAGCACCACCCCGGCTCCTGCCTTGGCTTCACCCATCCCATGGCCAAACTGGGTGGCCACCAGGCTGAAGGGTCCTGCTCAGCCTGATGGGGCACCTGGCTCTCCTCCTGCCCAGGACCTGGTCGCCTGGATCTCTGTGGGGTTCCTGCACATCCCCCACGCCGAAGATGTCCCCAACACGGTGACTGTGGGGAATGGAGTCGGCTTTTTCCTCAGACCCTACAACTACTTCGACAAGGACCCCTCGGTGGACTCGCCCGACAGCGTCTACTTCAGCAGTGAGCAGGACGCCGGGGCGTGTGGGACCAACCCCCTGGCCTGCCTGTCCCCTGCTGCTGCCTGTGCCCCCCGCCTGCCCCCCTTCCACTACGGGGGCTTCCTCAACCTCAGCCTGGCCCCACCACCCGGCGGGCTCTGACGGGATGGGGCTGCTGCTGCCCCATCCCCGAGGGTGCGGGCGGTCGGTGCCTGGCATCAGGCACGTCCTCAGTGGGCTGTGGGCACGGGGGCTCTGCCACCGCACCAGGACCTGCCCTCCCCATCCTTGGGACGTGACATGCTCGGGGTCAGGTTTTTGGGGGAGCTCAGCTCTCGTTTCAGGACGGCAGCACTGCCAAAGGCAGACTCAAACCCTCTGAAAAACAGCCCCAAGGAGTGATTTTTTGGAGACTGCATCCAGGAGGCCACCCAAAGGGCTGAGGAGTGCCCATGGCTGCTCTCCCCTGCTGGGACCAGGGCTCCTGCCACCTCCCCGAGGTAGGTGGATGCCCACAGGGCAATGGTGCTGGCCAGGCTGGGTGCTGCTCAAAGCTGCAGCTCCCTTGGACCCATGGTCTTCCCCGACGTCTTGCCCAGGGTGGTGGGAGTGGGCAACATGGCAGCCCCCATGGCCCAGCCACAGCCCAGGGAGAGCCTGAAACATCCCCCCTGGCCCCACGGCCACTGCAGCTGGTGGCCAGGGGCCCAGGCGACACTGAGCTCCGGCTGCTGCTGCGGTGCCAAGCCCTGGGGACGGGGACGGGGTGCTGGGCAGCACCAGACCTCCCAGGAGGAGCATAGGACAGACACTCCTGGGCTGAGCTGCCCGTGTTGTCCACCTTTCCCCAATAAACGGGCACTCAGGTGCTTTTTCTGACCACACTGCTGTGTAGCTCATGGCTGTGGCTGCCATGGCTGGTGGCCAGACCCTGGAGGTGACACAGCCGGCGCTGGTGCCCCGTGTTAGAGGGTCCTGGCTCAGCTCCGGTGCTCGCCGGGGGTCCAAGGGCCACGGGGCCGGTTCAGCGCCCGGCACGGCTGTGAGAGCGTGCTCCGGCCGTGCTCTTGGCCCTCGGGTGCTGGCAGGAGGCTCCTGCTGGGGAATATGGGACAAACAAGGGAGTTAATGTGTAACGGCTGTTCTGAGCCGCATTAATCGCTCCTGGCCTTGGCTGCTGCCCAGCTGCGTGCACATCCCCGGGCTGTGGGATCCCGCAGCCTCCAGCCCCCATCCCCGCTGCGTTAGGGTCGTGGAGGGGCTGCCAAAGGTGGTTCAGCTCCAGCCCCCATGGGCCAGCCCTGGCATGTGGCTGTAGATGCCAAGTACTGGCCAACATGTCCCTGGGGGCATGGTGGGCGTCCATTCCCTCTGAATCCTCACGGGGGGAGCTGGGTCTGCCCAGGACCAAGCTGGAATGGGCTCGAGAAGCCCTAATGGCAGCAGCGTGTTCCCCCAGGAGCTGCCATGGCTCGCTGTGGTGCAAGGAGGGGGTGTTGGGCAGGAGTGGGCAACCCCAGGACATGGCTCAGCGTGAGGCTGCCACAGTCCCTGGGGTGACAGCAGGACCCGTGCCCCAGAGGCACCTCCTGGGGCTCAGGGGGAGCAGGTGGGATGGTCCCTGCGAGGGGGAGGTCGATGCCGGCTGCTCTGCCCGGCTGTTTGTGAGCTCTGCCCGGACTCTGCCCGGGCGCTGACGCAGGCAGGGGCAGGCTCGCTCCCGCGCTGGCAGCGTCACGGCTCGCTGGTGGCCACAGAGCCTGCCCCAGGCTGGGAACTTTCTGGACAAAGCCCTGGCACGGCGTGCGGCACACCGCGTTATAGCACACGCGTGTGTCACGCTTCTGCGGCCGCATTCGGCACCTTGGGAACCAGAGGGACACCGTGTCCCGGAGCCAGCCCCCTGTCACCACCAGCACAGGCCCATGGGCTGCCAGCCCTTCCTGGGCTCGCTGTGCACAGACCCCCCCTGCAGAAATTAAGCCCCCCATGCAGAAATAAAGCCCCCCCTGCAGAAATAAAGCCCCCCCCCCAGCCTACCCCTGTTCTTCCCCTGGGAAAGCCACCCTGGCCAGTTTGCAAGGCATGTCCCTGGCCACTGGTGCTGCCAGCGCAGGTGACAAGCCGGAGCCTGGCACGGCGCTCCCAGAGCTGGTGGCCAAACTGGCCGGCGTGCAAAACCCCGTGGTGGCCAGGAGGTCAGCAGCTCCCACTGCTCCCAGCTCCACGCAGTGGCACCGAGGCCAGGGATTCACCCGAAGCGCAGGGCACGGAGCTGGGAAAGCTCTGCCGCGGGATGCTGGCAGCTCCAGCACAGACCTGGCCCACGGCACGTGTGGCCGGGCCACCGCACAGGGGACGCTGGCACAGGCTCTGTCACACCCCGGCTCCGTCGGCGGCGCCTCGTGCTCCCTCTGGCTCCAGCCTCTGCCTGGCTGGAGGGAGGAGGCAGCTGCTCCTGTCCCGTTTCCCAGACTCTTCCCGCTGTGGCCCCAGTTTTCCTGCAGCGACTTTTTCCAAGGCAACCGGAGCACACTTGTCCCCATCCCCCAACACCTTTTGCCCCCGTTTTCTGCTGTGAAATCTCTCGGGGAGAATTTATTGCTGACTGTTTCAAAACATTTTTTGAGGCGGAAGCCAAGGCTGTCGCATTCCTTCACGCTAGCCAAAGCCGCTCTGGGTTGAGGACCCTAGAACGAGCTGTTGGGGGATTTGTTTTGCCAGAGTAAGTCCATTTCCTTGCAAATTTCTGCTTCGTTGGGTTTCTTCTGTCAGTTGGGAGCTCAGTCCGGGGCTGGGATGCCTGGGTCTGTCTCCCCTGGGGACAGTCAGTCCAGGCTGGGAGGGACAGGGAAGGATGCTGCTTCCTGGGAAGCACTACTGAGGAAAAGAATGGGGGTCCTGGTAGGTAGCACACTTTCTGTGTGCCTTCAATGTGCCCTTGTGGCCAAGAGGCCAATGGAATCCTGGGCTGCGTAGGGAAGAGTGTGGCCAGCAGGTCAAGGGAAGTCATTCTCCCCCTCTGCTCTGCACTGGTGAGCACAACTGGAATCCTGCGTCCAGTTCTGGGCCCCCGAGTTCAAGAGGGACAGGGAACTGCTGGAGAGAGTCCAGTGTTGGGCAACAAAGATGATTCAAGGATTGGAGCATCTCTCTTACGAGGAAAGGCTCAAGGAGCTGGGACTCTTTAGCCTGGAGAAGCAAAGACTGAGGGGAGACCTTATTTATGTTTATAAGTATCTAAAGAGTGAGTTGAAGGATGTTGGAGCCGGACTCTTTTCAGTGGTTTCCAGCGATAGGACAAGGGGCAACAGGCACAAGCTGGAACATGGGAAGTTCCATTCAAATATGAGAAAAGACTTTACGGTGAGGGTGATGGAGCACTGGAAGAGGCTGCCCAGGGAGGGTGTGGAGTCCCCTTCTCTGGAGATCTTCAAGCCCCTCCTGGATGCCATCCAGAGTGATGTGCTCTGGGCAACCCTGCTTTGGCAGGGGAGTTGGACCAGATGATCTCTAGAGGTCCCTTCCAACCGACAATTCCGTGATTCTGTGATTCCTCTCCTTCATGTTCAGGCAGCTGGGAAATGGCACAGAGCAGTGTGAGCCCCCAGTGCTGCCTCCCACCACGTGCTGCCCCGGGGCTCCTCAGCACAGTGAGGATGCTCCAGCTGCGCTCCAGCCCCAGGGATGGAGTTGGACCAGGTCAGCTTGGGACAAGGATGCTGAGCCCAGGGTCAGGCTTTGGCTGTGCCCACGTTTCCCCGTGCGCAGGAGCATCATCCCCACCGTGAAGCAGACACTGGGAGGGGTCCTGGTGGCCCCCAGAGCAGACGTGTTGCTGGTTGGTGCCTGCAGATCTGCCCTGGCTGATGTGCCAGGGTGCCCTCTGATCACCCAACAGTCTTTGGAGCAAGTACCATCCCTCTTCCTCAGCCCAGCTGCTCCAAGAGCCTGTGCCTGCATTCCAGGGAGGAAGATTTGATGTGTTTTTGCCTTTCAGACCCCGTGCTGGCGATGGGGCAGGATGGTGCCCGCAGCCCTGCTGTGCAGACCTGCTGTTTGCTGGCAGGACACGGCGCTGGACACGACCTCCGCCTGCTCTGCACCCTGGCAAACAGCACAGGGGCAGCGGTTCAAGGATCTTGACCTGAACTTTCTCGAGGAGGGAGATAAGTGATGCATTTTCACTGGCTGCTAATCATTAACGCCTCCTCGCAGGGGCAACTGCCTGTTTTGCTGCAGTGGGCACTGCCTGGGCACCCCAAGCCAGTGCTGTGGGGCTGCGTGTCCAGAGCTGGGGAAGGAGGTTCCTCCTGCCAGGCTGATCCTGTGTCCTCGGGCTCCTGGAGATAGCTCTCCATGTTCCTCATTCACTGGCACCTCCCAGGGAGGAGCAGGACGATGGAGCTGTGGTGCCAGTGGCTGGGGTGGGAGGAAAGCCCACGGCAGGGATCCAGCACCCATGGGACCAGCAGCACCTTCAGCTCCATCCCCACAGCTTTGTGCAGGAGGGGGTTAACGGAGGGGAGCTGTGTTGGGAGGAATGCCTTCCCTCCCAGGGGACCTCATTTGCAAAGGTCCTTTAACCCCGCAGCAGAGATCAGAAGGAGGTGGCTGGCAGCTCCCCAAGCCTCAATGCCTCAGGTTTAGAAAGTTTCCCATCGCACAGAGCCCGGGTAGATCAGCCTGGAGAGTGCCAGGGCAGCCAGGAGTTTTTGTCATCAGCTGGAGGTTTCAGCTACCGTGGGGGTGGCGGGCAGCCTGCCCCCACCTCACAGACAGCCCAGTCCCTGCTCCTGGGCATCCCTGCAATGCTCTGGTGGTGCCTGGGGTGATGGCTGAGGGATGGAGAAGTGTCACAGCTCAGGCTGTGGCAGCTCTGCAGCACTGGTCATGCAGGGAGAAGGTGCTCAGGTCCCCTCCTCAGTAACAGCAGATGCTGGGATGCAGCAGGAGCTGCTGCGTGGGGCTGGGGCTGCGGTGACCCCCCCAGCGCTGCGGGGAAGGGTTAAGGTGCTGGGACCAGAGCAGCCCCCGCTCCTCCACGCGCCCTCGAAGCCTGTTTTTTCCCTTTTACGTAAGGTGTTCCAAACATGTTTGTAACAACCCCCCGGTGATGCACCTTTGGCAAAAGTGGTTTTGGGTCCAAAGATCGGTGCTGGGACAAGTGACCTGCCCGCGGCAAACAAGAGCCCGCAGAGTATAAAACCCCGGCGGCGCGGTGGAGCGCAGAGGAGCCGGAGCCGGTGCCGAGGGGCAACGGTGCAGGGGAGGATGGAGGCCAGCATGGACCTCCTGCACGACACGGGCGTCCAGGCGACGCGCTGGCTGCAGGAGCATTTCCAGGGCTCCCAGGATTGGTTCCTCTTCATCTCCTTCGCTGCTGACCTCAGGAACGCTTTCTTCGTCCTCTTCCCCATCTGGTTCCACTTCAGCGAGGCGGTGGGCGTCAGGCTCATCTGGGTGGCCGTGATCGGCGACTGGCTCAACCTCGTCTTCAAGTGGTGAGTTGGCCCCGTGCCACGGCTCCCTCCGGGCACGCTGGCACAGCTGGAGTAATGGGGGCCAGATGTGGGCTCTCAGCCTCGATGCTGGTGTAAAGCAAAGCCCAGGGTCGGCAGTAGGAATGGCTCAGCAGCAGCAGCTCTGCCCCCTCCCCAGGAGCCGGGCAGGGATGGACCCTCCTGCGAACAGACCCCTTCGCCATCGGCCGGGGTTGTGGTTTTGCACAGGGGCTGCTCAGAGCATCGCACCTCAGGGGGGCTGTGGGGGGTCTGGCACGGCTCTGACACGTGGGACCGGGGTTTGGTGCCCCCTGAATCTTTCAGGTGGGTGTTTCCCATGGGTGAGCCAGGACACCAACATCCCCTTCCTTTCCACGGCTGGTGACGCTGACGTCGCCACCACAAATGGTGGGGAACATAGGAGGGTCCCACCACTGCTCCAGGCACAGGATAGACCTCATGGGCAGCGTCTTTTTGTACCGTGGGGCCGATCCACCCTGGCACCATGGCCCAGCAGGGTTGGGTGCCAGCCAGTAGCCATGGGTGCCATCTCCGCGGGTGCTGGGCTGTGGTACTGGTGGCCACAGGGGCATTGGGCCAGCACAGAGCCATCCCTGCAGCCACATTCCTGTGTCCTGAGACTCTGGGGCTCCCTGCACCCCACAACACAGAGTTGTCGTGTCCCTACACCCCACATCTTGGTGGCAGGACCCCACAGCCTGCTCAGTGTTGGCCCCCCTAGCTCTGTGTGTGCCCCCGAGTCACATCCCCTGGGATGCCCACGCTGTCTGTGGCAGGGATGGGTGGCTTCTGCCTCTGGTACCACCATGATACAGTTGCTCTGTGCCTGAAAAAGACTCAGAGGGAGCAGACTCTGCTCCTCTTTCTCAGAGAATTGACGTGCTCCCAGGAAGTTCTTGCACTTCCCCTGCAGGGGACAGGGTTGGGGACACGGATGGTACCGGCTGCCGGGACCAAGCGACCAGCTGGATGCTGGGTCTGTCGGGACAACCTGAGCCATTCATGGATCCTTTGCCTCCTCCAGCTCCCAGACCAGAGCTGGGACCCCAGCCGTGACCACCTGCTCCAGTGCCCAGGACACTTACAGTCCCCATTCTTTCTTTTCAGGATCCTCTTTGGGGAGAGACCATACTGGTGGGTTCACGAGACGGATTATTACAGCAACACCTCTGCCCCGGAGATCCAGCAGTTCCCACTCACCTGTGAGACTGGCCCAGGTAGGGTCACTCGGCCCCAGTAGCATCCCCCAGCCCTGGTAGGGTCCCTCAGCCCCGGTAGCATCCCCCAGCCCCAGTAGGGTCCCTCAGCCCCGGTAGCATCCCCCAGCCCCAGTAGGGTCCCTCAGCCCCGGTAGGGTCACTCGGCCCCAGTAGCATTCCCCAGCCCCGGTAGGGTCCCCCAGCCCCGGTAGGGTCCCTCAGCCCCGGTAGCATCCCCCAGCCCCAGTAGGGTCCCTCAGCCCCGGTAGGGTCCCCCAGCCCCAGTAGCGTCCCCCGTCCCCAGTGCTTGCCCAGGGAACCTGCACAGGCAGCTCCCACTCCGGGTCTCAATCCCCACAGGGAGGGGGGTGTTGGCATGGCCGTGGCTGTGGCTGGTAGCCCACAGGTGGCACAGGCCCCTGCCAGCTCTTGTGAGGGGGCTGTTATCACGCGCTGCCGGGGCCGCGGTGGTGGAGGCAGGGCAGCCCCTGCGCAGACCTTGACCCTCAGCGCAGACGTGGCGGTTCAGCACAAACCCCAGCCCGTGCTCATCCCAGCCCATGCTGGGGCCACACTCAGCCCCCCCCAGCCCCAAACACGGGCAGCTGCTTTGTGGGGAAGGGGCTTGCCCGGTTCTGGAGCAGTTTTGTCCATTCCATGGGAGCCAGGGAAGGACTGCAGCATCCCCAGCACACTCAGCACCAGCCATCAGGGATGGCCAGTGCCCTCTGCTCAGTCTTGCCACTGGGGGACAGGTGTCATTTCCCATCCCAAACCCAAAACATAGCCCTGTACGGGCTGTGACTGACAGTTAACGTTCGTTAACTCCATCCCAACTGAAGCTGTGGTTCCACACTGAAGGAGGGGTCTGACTTGGGGGTCTCTTCTTGCCCAGGGAGCCCCTCTGGCCATGCCATGGGTGCAGCTGGCGTGTACTACACCATGGTGACAGCACTCCTCTCTGCTGCCATGGGGAAGAAGCAGTCGAGGACACTTAAATACTGGTAAGCTGTGCCAAACCCTGCCGTGCTGGGCAGAGGCTGCTGCAGAGCCCATCACAGCACAGGGCTGTGGGCACATCACCAGACCATGGCACCCCAGGGTGGGCGGTGTGGGAGGATGGGCTCAGTGGGCAGCCAGGCACTGCTCAGGGTACGTGATGGCGGTGCCCTGGGCAGCAGGGGCTGGCCCTGGCACCAACGTGGCTCCTGTCCCTCGCAGGGTGCTGTGGATGGTGCTTTGGACGGGGTTCTGGGCAGTTCAGGTCTGCGTCTGCCTCTCCCGAGTCTTCATCGCCGCCCACTTCCCCCATCAGGTCATCGCGGGGGTCATCTCAGGTGAGCTCCTCAGGACCCCGTCCCCTTCCCGTGGCACCCCCCTGCCAGAGGCAGCACCCGCAGGAAGGGTGCACGTCCCGATGGACACAAGCAGGGTCATGACGCACGCTGTGTCCCTGGCTCTGCAGTCACTGCCCCCATTGTCGCGGGCAGGATGCCCCCCCAGGATGTGCCTTTGTCCCTCTCCCATTCGAGGCAGCAGTCCCAGCTGCTGCTGGGCTCTGAGGGACAGAGAAGGTGGCCCGAAGGCACAGGCAGGGCAGGCGTGGGCTGTGAAAGGGCTGTCACCAGCCAAGGGAGTAGAATGGGCCACCTGTGAGCAGTGGGGTGCAGCAGTGGCCATTGGGGCAGCGGGCACCCTATCGGGAGCACCTGGGTACCCCCAGCTCATGTCTGTCCCGGACAGAGTGATTAACTTCACTAGTTAGAGTGAAGCAGTGAAATATTTATTAAGGTGAAACAGTGATTTAACAAGAACCAGTAGTAAGTGCGATAAAACCAGTAGGAAATGTGATAGTGTTTTAGAGATTCGATGTCAAGGTACACTCTGTTATTTACTGCAGAGAGGACAGGGTCAGGGAGACCCTCCCGTTGAGTCATGAGGTTCAGAAAGGACCCCCTTCTTTCTAAACTCCTTCTCAGAGAGGAGTTTGGATGCAGCTGGATCCAATCCTAGTCCCAGACTTGGTCAACAGTTTATGTCTAAAGGATTATATATGCACAATCAATCCTTTACATTACTTAGCTAAGATTTCAAAGTTTAGCATGCTATTAGTCACTCACCGAGAGTCTGTTGCGGCAAGGAATCTCTCAACCTCGAGGAGCAGAAACTTAAGCGAGCATCCTCACCAAAGGGGGGATCCTGGCGTGCAGCCCGCTGCCATCCAGGAGAGCTCCAAGGGCTCTTGGGCTGTCCACTATTTATACAGTAAGATAATTGACCTAGAGTCATATTTTCATGGCAACCAAATTTCTAGGTCCCTACTCCAGACAGTATTTTGACTGTGTTGCCAGCCATCCCCCAAAGTCTGGGTGCAAGTTATCACAGCTGCTGTTGTGATGGCCATTGGTGGCCAAAGCCAGCCAGGAGCTGGGGGGGGAAGTGGGGAAGCAAAGCAGGGAGAGCACAGTGCCACGATGTCCCCCACCAGACTGGGTGTGGGGTCTGCTTGGCTCCTCCACCCCAAGGCAGGTGATCCCTCGCTGATCAGTGCCATCTCCTCTCCTATTTTGTTATCATCAGGGATGGCCGTGGCCAAGACCTTCCAGCACGTCCACTGCATCTACCACGCCAGCCTCCGCCGCTACCTGGGCATCACCTTCTTCCTCTTCAGCTTCGCCATGGGCTTCTACCTCCTGCTGCGGGTGCTCGGTGTGGACCTGCTCTGGACACTGGAGAGGGCACGGAAGTGGTGCGCCCACCCCGAGTGGGTCCACATCGACACCACCCCCTTCGCCAGCCTCCTCCGTAACCTGGGGATCCTCTTCGGGCTGGGGCTGGCCCTCAACTCCCACATGTACCTGGAGAGCTGTCGGGGCAAGCAGGGCCAAAAGCTGCCCTTCCGCTTGGGTTGCGTCACCGCGTCCCTCCTGGTCCTGCACCTCTTCGATGCCTTCAGGCCGCCCTCCCACATGCAGCTGCTCTTCTACGTCCTCTCCTTCTGCAAGAGCGCGGCCGTGCCACTGGCCACCGTCGGCCTGATCCCCTACTGCCTCTCCCAGCTCCTGGCCACGCAGGACAAGAAGGCTGTTTAGGGGTGTCCCCGCAGGTATGGCTGCGCCCGGGCTCGGGGGCTGCCACCGGACCACGGCTGCACCCCAGGCACCGTTTGCTCCCCGCTGAACCCACAGACTCCACTGGGGAGCAGACCACCAGGACCGGGCTGCCAGAGCTGCTGGGTGGCTCCCGGGGCATGGACCCATGGGGACACTCGTGCCGTACGCTTGGGTGGTCTGTGCCCACCTGATGGCACAACAAGCCCCATGATCCTGGGGCTGTCCCACTGCTCTTCCTGTGCCCATGGGAGGGGGGCATCAGCCTGGGACCTGGCAGCAGCGGGGGGAAGACCCTGCACTCCCCTGCAGCTCATGTGGACGTGCCACACGGGTGGGACTTGTGGCCACCACTGGGAGCAGGGTGGTCCCCCGTGGGGGCACGGGGTCTGCTGGCATGGTGGCTGTCACAGGGACAGGCAGACACTGCCACGGGGAGACAAAGCACTGGTTTGTGGGACCCTCCCCCCTTACAGGACCCCCCCAGCCCCAAGGTGTTGTGTTCACTGCAGTGCGAGATGTGGGGCACACGGGGCAGGGGTGTGTGTGTACATGTATGATGTATATCTACATACACATATACATATGGGCATGTCTGTAAAGCAGGTATTTTATTAAAGCTGAGCCTGTGTTCAGCTGGTGAGTTCGACGTCTCCCCGGATGGTGGGATGGGGCATCATCTCCCAGGCCCAGGGGCTGCGGGGGGGTGGTTTTAGGGGGGCAGCTTTGGGATCAGCTCTCCTGGGGACCTGAAGGTTTGTTCCCGACCTCTTGCTGTACCACCTCTAGCAAGAAGGGTGACATTTCCCCAATGACCTGCGGTGCTTCCCCAGGCTGCGGCTCCACAGCGCCCTGCAGTCTCTGCAGCTGAGATTGCAACAGCCAATTTCAGCAGCAAAAGCTCGATTCGTTTTCTCTCCACTCGTTGGCAAATATCACACCCAAACCCTCTGCGTCTTACCAGTATTCTGTGGTTTGTTTTTTTTTAAAATGCATCCAACTTATTATAAATAACCGTCCTCACAAAGCAATCACTCCTCAGGAACTGGTACGAAGTAAAAAGTCACAATGTAAATTGCAAACGGGAAGGCCCCCTTTTGGCTTTAGGAAGCCTACGAAATGGTTAAATAATGACTACTTTTAATCACTGAAGAACGTGTACCCTTTTTTCAGAGAAAGGGAAGAACCCCTGCAGCAAAGTGTGGAACAGCAGACCCCCCCTCCCCATTTTCCACGAGCACCGACACAACCGCTGCTGGGTTTAGCTCTTTATTCTCTGGGAAAACAGCCCTGTTTTGAGAATTGTTTCTCACGCTTCAGGGCTCCGGTGGCTGAGGAATTCCTGGAGCAGAGCTTGCACTTCTCCTCGCCGACTCATCTTGGTGGCTTTGCCCTGGAAGCGGCCCCTTTTCCCGGCTCCTTTGCCCCCCAGCAGCTCTGCCACCCTGGGGGAAGGAAGGGCAGGGGCTGGAGGCCACTTGCTCCCCGAGGGGAGAGTGCCCTGGCCTGAGCCTGCCCTAATCCTGCTGCTCAGGCTGCAACACTACAATTCTTACTAATTTTAAAGAAACGCGTAGAAGGTGTTACCTGGGACCTAAATTCTCAACTGCTTCAACAGGGCCCGCGAGAAGGAAGAGTCCTGCTTCTTTTTCATCTCCCACAGTCAGGAACAGCAGGGTCTCCTGTGGGCAGAGAGATGGACCTTGCTCCAGAATAACCAGTGCCCTCCTCCCCCGGGCAGAGGACAAGGACACTGGCCACACGCAAACGATGGGGAAGTTTGTGTGCGTTAGTGAGACAGAGACTCAGTTTGAAGAAAGTAAAAGGGAGGGGGGGATTTTAACCTTTTACGCTCAATCATATGTTGTGGGGGACAGAATGGGGGCTGGGGCACCCTCAGGTGAAAGGACAGGGTTGGCAGCTGGAGCAGATGATCACTGTAGGGCCCTTCCAACCCCAACACTGTCCTACTCTATTCTACAACAGCCGAGGAGGTTCTGCACAGCTCTTTGGGGGGACAGGCTCTGAATTTTCACTGCTGTTTCTCGAGGGATCCCGCACAGGCTGAGCCTCACTTTCCTGGTGACCAACAGGGGCCTGTGCTAGAGCCACAGTGAAAGGGCCCGTGGTGTCAGGTCTTCCTCAGTGACTCACCTCTGTCCCAATCTCATTAGCGATGATATTCATAAATTCAGAGTCACCCTCTTTCCTGTAGGGATGAGTAAAAAAAACCACTTCAGAAAGAAGCAAAAGTCCCCTCTAGAGTCCAAAATATCAATCGGAAACCAAAGGCCTGATCAGGCCTGGGGTTTTGGCCTCTTGCTGTTAGGATGGAAATTAGTTTTTTTCTATATATCCAAATCCTCATTGTGCATTTCTGCATACATATTAGGAATTATTGAAGTGTTAATCTTTAAGAAATAGAGCTCCTCAGTTATATTTGAAAAGGGCAGAGAGAAGTCAGACAGTTATTTCTTAGATATAAAACCAGAAGGATTTGGTGACTGAATCACCAACACACTCCTTTAAGTACACGACCTTCCTGCAGGCTGAGGCAGCTAAATGCTCTGTTCACCTCGTTTATATTTCTCTTTGAGAAACAAGCCAGCAGAAGTGTCAGAGAGGTGCAACTGCCACAAAACATCTAAGATTCCATTTTGCCCTTTTCATAGAATCATAGAATTGCCCAGGCCGGAAGGGACCTCCAAAGGCCATCTAGTCCGACCCCCCCGCAGTCAGCAGGGACACCCCCAACTAGACCAGGTTGCCCAGGGCCTCGTCGAGCCTCTCCTTGAATATCTCCAGGGAAGGGGCCTCAACCACCTCCCTGGGCAACCTGTTCCAGTGCTCCACCACCCTCACAGTGAAGAACCCCCTCCTAATCTCCAATCTAAATCTGTTCCCCTCCAGCTTGAAGCCATTGCCCCTCGTCCTGTCACTGCAGGCCTTTCTAAACAGGCTCTCCCCAGCCTTCCTGTAGGCTCCCTTCAGGTACTGGAAGGCTGTTATTAGGTCTCCCTGGAGCCTCCTCTTCTTCAGGCTGAACAACCCCAGCTCCCTCAGCCTGTCCTCGTAGCAGAGGTGCTCCATCCCCCTGATCATCCTTGTGGCCCTCCTCTGGACCCGCTCCATCAGGTCCATGTCCTTTCCCTGAACTCCCCATACCTGTGTAACACAAAGAGCTGACTTGGCACAGGTTTGCTCTTGAAGTCCCGGGCGATCAGAACAGCGAGGTCCCTGAGCAGGTTCAAGTTATTCTGAAAGAAAAGGAAACGAGCTGTCCCTCAGACGGAGGAGTCGGTGCCAACACAGAGTCGTGTTCCCGGAGACGGGAGCAGTTTTCACAAAACCTGATGGTCTGTGATTCAACCCCCAGTTACCGGAACTAAGGCTCAGGTTGAGGGGAAGCAGCCAAAATGTGCTTTTCTCTCCCCACCTCGTACCTTCTGAAGCAGCTTCACAGAGCTCTGCAGCCTCTTCACAGCCTCTACGTGCTCACCCGGGCCATTTCTGAAAGAGCAAGGAGAATCTGGATGGCCTCTCTGAAGGACAAAGAAAGGATTTTTTCAAGGAGCAAAAGCAGGTAGTGTGATAAAAACACCGCACAGAGGTACCCTGAGGTTTTTGTGGTGTTTGTTAGAAGGAACAGTAAAGATGAAATAACGAAAGCGGAAAGGGAATTACTTGAGCAGTGAGGTTAGAGCCTTCTCTGTACTGTGACTTTGCTCGATCGACTTCAGCACTCTGTTTCCTGCCAGGAAAACCAAGTTGGTTTTGTTCTTTTTCCCTTTTTCTGTGCCAAGGAGTTTAATAACCTTAAAAAGAAAACCCCCCTGGTCAGAACACTGCTTTGGTGACACACACAGAGGGTCAGCTCCTACCAGACTAGGTCTTGTTGTGAATATCGGCTCTTTGCCAGGGGAGAGAAACTGATTAAAATCAGCCATAAGGTCAACATACACACACACACACACACACACACACACACACACCCCTCAACAAAAAAAGATGGTGATAGAGTGGAATTAACACAATTTGCTAGTGAGGGGCTGCACTCTGCAGTGCATCTGGATGTCTCTGCTGGGACATCGACTCCAACCAGTGACTGAAAAGACAGAAAAGCTTAAAGGCAGCTCAAGAGTTTTATCTCCACTAAAAACATCAGAGCTTTTAAGCAGAGGGAACAAAGGGCTACAACCCAGCAACGCACCCCAAAACCAGCAAAGTAGCAGGGCAGCTCAGGAAATGTCACAGACAAGGGCTGGGCTCTGTCACAAAGCAGGAAAGAGCCAGACTGGGCACAGATACCAGCCCGTGTCCACCTCTGGGGGAGTGTGGGGCTCCTGACACCCCCTCTACCATGGGCACGATTTCCAGCAGCCCCTGGATGTGCTGTGCCAGGGCTGAAGGGGTGGCACGAGCATCCCACCTGGAGGTCACTGAGGTTGGAGACGTGAGTCCCACAGCACATGTTGGAGTCGATGCCTTCGATGTCCACCACTCGCACCGGCCCCGCGTGGTCATCGGGCAAGCCACGGCTTCTCACCTGGGGACAGGAGGGCAACAGCAAACGGGGTGACATCCTCGGCACGGCTATTTTGGTCCCACCCATGTCATCACTGACAGGGTTCTCAGCCATTGGAATGGGCTGCCCAGGGAGGTGGTTGAGGCCCCATCCCTGGAGGTGTTCAAAAGACGGGTTGATGTAGTGCTGGGAGGTATGGTTTAGTGATGGTGATGCTTCTTGTTTGTTGTGTGGGTGTCTATTTTTGTCAGTCAGGTTGACGGTTGGACAAGATGATCTTTAAGGTCCCTTCCAACCTAGAAGATTCTGTGATTCTGTGATCAGGTCTCTCCCCACCACTCACCGTTTCAATTTCAGGGTCATCCACAGCCAGTTCCCGCACCCTCACGGGCACCCTCTCCCGGATCTTCTCATTCACGCTCCTCTCCAGGGCCTCCACCTGCTCTGCTGTCATGGAGGGGGTGTCCAGCTCAATGAAGCTTCGCTGGCGGCCCAGCTCCCTGCACCGATGGAGAACATCTGGCTGCTGTGGCCAAGCCCAGCTGGAAGGTCCCTCTGTGTGGCACCACCTGCCATCCCGTTGCTGGGAACACGGTGACTGGAAAGAAAACACATTTCCCTCCTCCCCCTGGTATCTGCAGAGCACCAGGTCCACACCACCCACTTGGAGAGGACAGAGCCAATACTTTGCACAGCTTCTCTCCAGTTCAGTCTCCTCTCCCAGCCCCTCTGAGCAAGAGCGAGATGTCCAGGGACAAACTGGTTTTGTTTTTCCCTCCTCCCTGTGGCCCAGCACACCAGCACACACCAAACAAGGTAAGGTTGGGGCCAAAAGGAGCCTTTTCCCCGCTCACCATGAGGTTGTCTTGAATCCAAACATCTGGTCTGCAATGGCAGTGATAAGGTGCTGCCCTGGAAGAGACGTGCAAGCGACAGCTTTGAGTGCACTGAATCAGTGAAAAGAGGTTTTCGCTCAGATTTTTCCTGCTGGCGGGATGTTTGCTGGGAGCTGCGGAGCTCGGGCTTCGGAGCGGGCAGAGGAGACGGCCCCGGGACACCGGGAGCACCACGGCCCCACCAAAGACTTCAGGAGGTTGAACTCCTCCTTCCTGGGCTGTTTGGGGGGGGTTTGGTCACAAATTGAGGAGACCCGTGGACTCGTCCACAGCCCAGCGCCCGGGAGGGGGCTGTGGGGCTGCCCCCTCCCACAGGGACCGGACACCAACTCCCCGGACACCAGCTGCCCCCTCCCCCGGGCACCGGCCGCCCCCTCCCCGGGGACTGGCCGCCCTCCCTCCGGACACCGGCCGCCCCCTCCTCCCGGGCACCGGCCGCCCCCTCCTCCCGGGCACTGGCCGCCCCCTCCTCCCGGGCACCGGACACCCCCTC